CTGGCCCAACCATGATTCATATATATGGCAAGTTTTCTAATGTAAAGCTATGTTCATGTTGCATATTAATGGTTGTCGGACAGTGTTGTGTATCAATATTCCACTATAATCTTAGATATGATATTTAACAGTTTGGGTGGAGCAGAGAAGGACATCGTAAAGGCTTAGCCCCCCTTCTCCCCTCCCCAGCCCTGCCTTATGGGCCGGCTCCATGACATCCCCTAGAGGGCTGACAAAAAGATGCTGCAGAGGCAGCTAGGGAGGCTCTTGTTTGACCAAAAAGAAACTCTTGCAAAACATCAAGAAGCTAGTAACACCAAAATTCCAGGAAGAGTTCCCCTTTAAAATCAGGAAAGAATCTGTGGAAACCTTGCTTGGAGAAAAGCCACTACGATTCATCTTTTGTTTGGTGAATTGCACTCTGTCAGAACTCATAAACCCGGGACTGTTAAGTATTCTCTTTTTATTCCTTTTTCTTTTACTGTCATTATATATACTTGTCTCTCCTTATTATATCTTTTCTGTATATTTTTCTGCACTGTTTCTTTTATTAAAGGATGATCTTATTAATCGTTAAGCTTATTTCTACTCTCTAAATAAGACCCTAAAGTATCCTTGCCTCTGTGCAAAGCGCTACTGTATAGGTAAACCTGTCATATTCCTGTCTAAAAGGACAGCGGTATCATAGGCTTTGTTTATGTTTTTGAATTGTCATAGCACTTGCTGGGATCGGTTCCTGTGTCCGTGAATACATGTGGTGGCAGCAATCGTTTGGTGTGTAAAGGGTTAACTGAGGAGTTAATAAACCCTAGTGACAACGACTCTCAGTCTGCTGGCCTGAGATTGTTGTCCCACGTGCAGGATGAGGCTGAGAGTGGCATTGCTACCTCCTTGCGACGGCTCACTCGGTTCAGAACTGCATAGTGCAATTGACGTACAGTGGGTTCGGACCAGTCGCATCCATCACAAGGAGGACCCTGAATTTCAGGCAAGATCAACAGGTATTTTCTGTATTTGCCAAAAATGTTGTTAGCCTTAAAAAAATGAAATGAATCCACATCTAAACCACATCTAAAAACTGGTTAGCTGCAATATATTATATTTTTGTAATAAAGGGTTTTGATGTAAATGATCATTAAGGTTGACCTTTACTTCTAAAATTGATTTTTCCTCCCTGCAACTTTACACCCCTCTTCCCACTGCAATATAAAATCAAAAGTTTTTTTTTAATTTTGTTTATATTTTTTTTACCTATCATCACCCCCTGCCTCAGTTTTTGCCTAGGTGAGAATGACATGTCCCGGCTCCTGCAGTGTTCTGGGATATATATCACATATTCCAGGAGGCTGCGGGAGCAGAGATAAACAGTGGCTGGAGGGTGGACTTGGTGGTGTGTAATTGGGAGTCAATTGCTAGTACCCATATACAGTATATAGTCGGCTCCCAATGACAATGAAAATGGCAGAGCAGTAACCAACAGGACAATGCTGGATTCGCTGGGCAGGTGAGTATGTTTGTTTTTTTTTTAAACCCTGCAAAACTGATAGAGGATACAAAAAAAAGCAGAGGGGGGGCGTTTCTCTTTAAGTGCCAGGTTTGGGAAGTGATTATATTGTGTGTGATCTTGTTCTGGGTTAGCGATGTAGGCAGGAACTCTCTGAACATTACATCTATAACAATTATGTTGTTGCTTTTAAAGACATCATCAGTATAAATCTTCACTTAAAGGAGTTCTAAAGTCATACTCCTGTTATAACATCAGCTCTGTAATAGGAATACATACTAGAGTTGTTTTTGATAATGCAATCAAAGGTTACTTGAAAAAATCCCTTTTCTGTAGTGAGTGCCGCCTTCCATCTGGTCATCACTTTCATCAACTTATGGAAATTCAATATAGGAATACATAATTAGTTTTAGCTCTTGACCATCTCTACCAAGGGTCTCAAACTCAATTTAGTCAGGGGCCACTGGACACATTTTTTAGTCCTGTGGGGGCTGCTACTATATACGGTACCAGTGTTAATACATGTTACAAGTTTGCCGTCTGGCGACGGCAACCCGCGAATGCGACAGTGCCGTCCGTCCGTTTTTCTACTACGGGCGGACGGCAACTGGTTAATACATGGCATCCCTGGATGGAATTTATGCGCTCGCCTGAATATCTCACATTTGAAGAGCAACCGAGACCATGACGGACACGGGGGGTACTAACATACCGTACTCTGATCTAGCACCCCCCTCCCTTCTTTTCCCTCCCTCCCTTCGCCTCTTGAAGTTTCTTTTTTTTTCCCCCACTTTTCCACATAGAACCTAGGTATTATTGATAACTATTAATAAACCACCTGGCCTCTTCCTTACCCCACTATCCCCAATTCTTATTTAAATAACCCAACATATAAGTTGGTACTATGTATACACGTGTGCTCTCGACTATATCATCGCCCGCATATAACCAGCGGGGTGCTACGCCGGCTGTCTCTTCATCTTCATTAACTCTTCTATGAAATCGATAAAGAGAGCACCTACCAATAAGGCACGAGCCAGTTTATTACACCAGACGCCTCGAAAGACAGCCCGGCCGGCATAAACACCCGACTACCCATCTTTGGTCCCAACACATAACCCAGAAAGCTGATTCCCCTTTTACTTTTTTCTTAACCTCAGGTGCTTGTACGGCTAAACAATTAGTTGTTTGTTTTTTGACAGTTTTTGAAATGACTGTTTTCATTTTCCTGCACTGTCCTCTATGTACGGTGTAAGCTTTAAAAAATTGATAAAAATAAAGAATTTATTTAGAAAAAAAAAAAGAACTGACAGAGCTCCGGCCGGAGCTGACATCCGACAGAGGTGCAGACCGTGTAGCTGCTCCCGCAAGTCGGGCACGCGGTCCATGACTGTGTGCCCAACTTGTCAGCTGGCTGCGGGCCACATAGTACCGGCTCACGGGCTAGTTGGCACGCAGGCCGGAGTTGGCCCGCGTGCCGCTACTTTGAGACCCCCGATCTATACCCTTTGAAAGATTGCTGTATATCTGTAGCCATTTGTATGTATATATTCATTGCAGCGAAGTTTCACCCTTTAACAAAAAACTTTGCTGCACCCTGACACTAGTGTTGTCCTTGGTATTTTAATAAACCATCGCCTACTGTAGAGCAGCAACAGCTGGATTGTCACACGTTGCCCATGCAACACTCTGTATATAAAGTCATCAACTTCATATAGAGTAATGTATGTAACTATATTAATCTCAATGTCAAATATGAAGCCAGGCATGTATTTAGTAATTACTGTAGCTTCACAGATGGGCAGATTGAGACCCGGCAGGAATAAAATATGACACAAGTTGAAGGATACATAGCAATCTCATTTACATTGCTAATCAAAATGCACTGAGCCTGACTGGGAAGTTCCAATGGTTTGGGAAGGAGAGAGAGACAGGGAGAAAGTTAAAGGAGGGGGGGGTATAAAGATACAGAGGAAAGGAGAGACAGGCAGATAAAGAAGAGAGAGAATGAGAGAGAGAGGGATAAGGAGAGAAAGAGAGAGGGGAAGGAAGGGAGGGGAAGGAAGGGAAGAGAGGGAGGGAGAGAGAAAGGGCTAGGGAGGGAGGGAGAGAGAGGAAGGGAGGGTGGAGGAGAGAGGGGAAGGAAGAAGGGAGAGCAAGAGAGGGTTAAGGGAGGGGGAGGGAGCAAAGCGAAAAAGAGAGAGAGAGGGAAAGAGAGCAGAGGGGAGGGAGGGAGAGGGGAATGGAAGGAGGGAGAGCAAGAGCAGAGGGGAGGGAGAGATTGGGGAAGAGGTGAAGGTAGGGAGATAAAAGGA